CCTCAGGGTAGGAAAGGAGCTAGGGATTCTTTTGTTTTATGCTGAAATCTGGTAGTGACTGTTCCTGCTCATAGGGGGATGGCTATTCCTAAGTTTATTGGTAATTGTGTAGTAGGGGTAAATGAATGTGGTAGAGTACCTAGAAATAGGTTGAACCAAAAAATAGACTTAATGATATTAACATTAAGGCTCAAGTTTGTCCTTTATGGTTATGAGTAGCTAGCATTTGTTATTATTTATTTATTTATTATTTATTTATTTATAAAAGATTTTATTTATTTATTCATCACACACACACACACACACACACACAAGCAGAGACACAGGCAGAGGGAGAAGCAGGCTCCACGCAGGTAGCCTGATGTGGGACTTGATTCCGGGTTTTCAGAAACACACCCTGGGCTGCAAGTTGCGCCATCGGGTCTGCCCTAGCATTTGTTTTATTGTTAATTGAATTAATAATTGTTGGATAGAGACAGGACAATTACTGACTAGCTAGGAGGGTGAAGGGAATAAGATGCTTGGGATATAATGATTAGGATTTCAATGGGCTGACCTATTATTTTAGGGTAATGAAACAGGTGAATACGATTTTTGTTCATTTTTTTTCCTCAAGGTGCAGGATATTTTAATGTCGCTACTAGCTTCAGTCCTAGATTTTCTGGATAATATCTTGAGAGTTTCAGTAGAAACACGATGAACAGGGCTATAATCATTGATAAAATAATAATAAATCAGGTTGATGTATTTGTGGCATTTCATTAAGGAAAGGTTAAAACTCTGAATCTTTTCTTTAAAGTTTTTATTTTATTATTTATTCATGAGAGACACACAGAGAGAGGCAGAGATACAGGCAGAGGGAGAAGCAGGCTCCGTGCAGGGAGCCGGATGTGGGACTCGATTCCGGGTCTCCAGGATCACGCCCTGGGCTGAAGGCGGCGCCAAACCGCGGAGCCACCAGGCTGCCCAACTCTGAATCTTTAACCTACAAGGATAATGCTTTGTAGCTTCTCAATGGTTTTACAGTATGGATGCAGATCATTTTTCAAAGTATGATGGTGGCACCAACTCAAGAACGATTGGTATCAAGCTATGTTTGGAACCACAGATTTCTGAGCATTGGCCATAGTATATTTCTGGTTGTACAACCATTAGAGCAGTTTGGTTTACTCATCCTGGGAGAGCGTCAGTTTTTAAACCTAGAGACAGTATAGCTCATGAATGTAAAACATCTAATGAAATTAATATATGGATTGTTATTTCTATTGGTAGTACAGCCCAATTATCAAATCTCTAGTAATTGCAGTTGTCTGGGTTCTAGTTCTTGTGTTGGGATCACATAAGAGTCGAAGTTTAAGTCTTCATAATCTGTATATTTATAACTTCAGTATCATTGGCACCCTATGGTTTTTATGGTTAAGAATGGGTCATTGATTTCATTCATTATATAAGGGATTTGTAATGAAGACAGGGCGATTGAAATGAAAATATCTGGTAGAATAGCTCATACAGTCTCTACTACTTGTACATCTATTGTGCTTGTTTGAGGTAATGTAATTGCTAATATCAATGAAATGATGTAAAGGACTAAGGAGCTAACTAGAAATATAATTATCAGTGTACTAGCTTGGAAATGTAAAAGTTATTCTATTATAGGGGAGTTTGTGTCTTGGAAACCTAATTGGAAAGGGTACGCCACAGAGATATAAAGGACTTCAACCTATAATTTAACTTTGACAAAGTTATGTAATTTTTACTGAAGTGTCTTTATTGAGAAAGATATAGTGGTTATGGCATTAGCTTGAAACCAGTCTAAGAGGGTTAGATTCCTTCCATTCTTTTCTTGGGGTTACATAAGTGGGCTCTTTGTGTGATATGGAGGAGGACACCCATGTGGTCATTCGCTATTTGTTGTAGTAAGTTCTATTGCTACTTTTCATTTCGATGCAAAGACTTCTCAAATTATAAATATCATTAGTATTACCACTGTTAATAAAATAAATGTGCCCATAGAGGAGACTGCATTTCATGTTGTATATGCATCTGGGTAATCAGAATTGTGTTGAGGCATTCTGGATAGTTGAAGAAAATGCTGAGAAAAGAATGTTCTGTTGATGCCAACAAACATAAGTGGGGAGTGAATTTTTGCTCAGGTGCTATTAAGAGTATAGCCTGAGCATAAAGTGCATCGTGAACAAACCCGCCCATGATAGCAAATACCACTACTATCGAAAGAATGTAGTGAAAATGTGCTGCTACACAGTAAGTGATATGGAGGAAAATGTCTAGGGATGAGTTAATTAGTACAATGCCTGTTAGGCCTCCTACAGTAAATAGGACAATAAAGCCTAGGGCTCATAGTATAGCAGGTTATCACTTGATATTTCCTCCATGAACGGTGGCAAGTCAGATGAATACTTTGACTCCTGTTGGAAGAGCAGTAAATATAGTCGCTGATGTAAAGTATGCTCATGTGTCACTGCCTATCCCTAAACATGGTGGGTCCATATGATAAAGCCTAAGAAACCAATAGATATTATTGCTCAGACTATTCCCATATACCTGAAAGGCTTTCTTGCCTGAATAGTATGTAACAAAATGTGAGATTATCCTGAAACCTGATAAAATTAGCATACGTACTTTGGGGTGTCTGAAGAATCAGGATAGATGCTGATATAAACTGAGGTCCCCTCCTCTGGCTGGGTCAAAGAATGTGGTATTAAGCTTTCAATTTGTTCATAGAATAGTAATTCCATCTGCCAATACTGGTAGTGATAGGATTAGTAAGACTGCTATAATTAGGACAGATCATATGAATAAGGGCATTTGATACTAGGATATTTCAGGGGGGGTTTACATTAATAATGGTAGTAATGAAGTTAACAGTGTCTAGAACTGAGGACACACCTGCCAGATGTAGAGAGAAGAATAGGGCTGGAAGAGAAGGCAAGCAAGAGGAAAGGATGCATAGGTGTTGTAGGCAAATGGGTCTAGGTTTTGAACCTGTAAATGTCATTTACCAGCTACATGGCTTTGGGTAGTATCACTTAATGTCTCCAAGTCTTTGCGTTCTCTTCTGGAAAATGGAAACAAATAATACTACCGGAATCAAGGGGTGACTATGAACATTAACCACCATATGTATTTGTTTGGCATAGTGCCTGACACTTGGTAAGGACTTGATAAGTGATTGATATTCTTAATACTGTTGTTGCTATTATTAATAATTATTCTGACAGAGAAGAGCCTAGACCTTCAGAGATCCTTTGCTTTCTTCTCCAGCTCACTTGTATCTGCTAGGAAGGTTCATCCTCCATCCCTTCATTGGAAATGAAGCCCAAAGCCCTCAGGAATGGATTCTGTGATTCAATGCCACTCCCCACTTCTTTACTTTCTCCAAACACAATCCCCATGCTCTTGACTTAAAAATGATTTTATTGCTGTAAGGTTTAATCCGATTGGTAGTGAAATGAAATAGGCCAAGCAAAGGTTGGTTGAGGCAAGCTATTAATGGGACGTGCTCTCGGGGGAGGTTCTGTGGCCCACAGGGGAGGGAGAGAGCGGGGAGTCATGGGCCAGGGAAGTCATACCCAAAGGGCGTACATGTGAGCTTTTAAGGGGGGAGGGGTAAGGGGTTGTGTCAGTATGGGGTGATAACTGCTTATGCCCTTATATGGGTTTGGGTAAGGTGTGGTTCAGGTTTCCTGCATAGATCATGTCTCCACCTGAGGATTTGTCCTTGGGCAGCCTGCTGGTGGTGGGAAAGTTCTGAGGGGAGGGTAACAAGATGGAGGGTCTGCCGCCATTTTGTTGGTGCCTTCTGATCCCCCTTGATCCCACCGGTCCAACATTCCGATCCTTTTGTGGTTATAGGGCATTAGTTCAGATCTGGCTACTTCCTGCTGAGTAGGGGGCATCCTGGGGTCCCTCAGAAGTGGTGAAGTGGGAGTACAGGTGTAGGAGGAGTTGATTGACAGATACTCAAGACATTTCTCGAACTCGTTCCTGGATAAATCGGAGAACACAAGGGGCCACTGTTAATAATATGCTGATGATTAGGAATGGGCTTAGGAGGGGGAGGAGCCATGCAGTTAGTGTGGCCTGCCACCATTGGGGTGTAGTTGGACCGCCCCGGTGGTACCGGGTTTGGAGAGACTCACGAACTTTGGCAAGGGTGTGGAGATTGGCCTCAATTACACCTGTTTCACTGATGTAGTAACAGCATTCTTCGTTGAGAAACATGCAGGTTCCACCCTTGTCTGTGGTGAGGAGGTCCAAGGCTGTCAGTTTTGGAGCTCAGCTTGAGCCACTGATGTTACCTGGTGTTGTAGGGAAGCTGGACACTCTGCCGAGGCCTCCATGGCTATTTGAAGCCTTTCAGATAGGTCCCTGGTGGAATATACAGAGTGGATTAAGGCCCTCGTCCCCAGTCCGTGGCCACCAGGGTTGAGGCCAGGGAGACTCCGATAACTAGTGGGAAAAAGACCACTCGTTTCTGCTTTTGGGGGGCCCTGGCAAGGAGGGCTAATTCTGCTTGACTATAGATAGTTAATCATGGAACCAAGGAGACAGGCAAACAGAGAGAGGCAGAGGTATTGAGAGAATTAGAAAGGGTGCCATTGCACCTAAGCAACTGCCAATAGGGGCGTGATGAGAGGTAACATTAGACAGGGTGACATTGCAGAGGGAAGAGTTAGGGGTGGAATAACAGAAAGGGAATTGGTGGTTGAGAGGGTCGGTGAATAAGGAAATGTTGTGGAGAGAGGGAGAAGGTCCCGGAGGTGTGGGTGTGGGGTTGGTGCAGTTAAATGATTAGGGAGCAGAACGCCTACCGGGGGCTAAGCAGTGGGACAAATTAATAGATTTAAGACCCCGTTGGTGAGTTTCCAAATTGGAAATTGGGGATGAGAAGGAAAGGAGGTTTGATCTTTTAACTGGATTTTTACTGGGGGGGTCATGAGTGGCCACAGTTGGTTTAGAGGTTTCCCAGACTTGGGGGTTAATGGGTAAAGGGAGATGGGGTGGTGGGGAGGGATCAGGAGAGATTAAGGGTAAGAAATGGTGAGCGAGAAAGACGAATGGTGGCCTTGAGTTTGTGTAGGATATCCTGGCTGGCCGAGGAGAGGAGCGGGGCAGGAAGGAATTATAAGGAAGGAATGTGAGAAAGGGAACTCATCCAGGCCACAAGAGAGGAGTGGGGTAGTTTGTGGAATGGAGGAGGTGCCATCAATTCCCACCGCCGCTATTGGAGAGGGGAAACTGGCACCTGAGTAGGAAGGCAAGATAGAGTAGGTCACCCCGTGTCCAACAGGAAAAAGATGGACTTACCCACTACCTGGAGCATGACCCTGGGCTCAGCCTGGGTTAGGGGAGGTGTCGGAGTCTGGGCCCCATCAGTCATCATCCAATCTGAGTAGTTGGAAGGCTGGACTTACCGGCTCAGGGTTTCCACCTCGTGGAGGTGCCGAGGATCCTCCAAGACTGGGGCAGTCAGATTTCCAGTGGCCCATCATCTTGCATTGAGGGCATGGCCATGTTGGCTCCTTGGGATTGGGACATTGATGGGCCCAGTGTCCCTCAGTTCCGCATTTGAAGCAAGCCCCAGGCGGGGTGTAGTTGATTTCCCCTTTCTGTTGGCTTCCAGAGCCCGCCAGGGCTGCTACCAAGGCTTGGGTTTGGAGTTGGACCTTTTGCTGGAGTCTAGCCTGCCTCTTAAGTTCAACCGCTTCCTCTCGGGTGTTAAAGACTTTAAATGCCATTTTCACCAGGTCAGGAATGGGAGTTTGAGGACCCTCCTCGACCTTTTAAAATTTTTTATGATATCAGGGGAGGACTGAGAGATAAAATGGGTCACCAAGACAGTAGCCCCAGCTAGGGAGGAAAAAGACCGCTCATTTCTGCTTTTCTGGGGAGGCTGGGTCCAGGCCAGTGTACTGGGTTGAGGCCTCAGTGAGCTTATTAAGGAAAACTGCAGGGTTTTCATCTGGGTTCTGAGCAACTTCCCAGAGTTTATCATAGTTGATAGCCTTGTTAGAGGCCCCCAGCATATCAGCGATAAGACAATGGACCATGTGGTGGCAGCGGCAGCGGCAGTGGCAGCGGCCATCTTGGCCAGTCTGATAATCCCATCCAGGATCCCCAGCGGGAACTGCCTGAGCACCCACCGGCTAGTGGCATTGGTCAAATGGACCTGGTCTGAGTGTTCTTGGACAACAGCCTGAATATGTTCCCTCTCCTCCGTTGTAAGGGTGGTGGTCTGGACAACATGCAAATCATGCCAAGTCAAGCCATATCCCTGGGCCAAATATTGGAATTCCTTGATATAGTTTCCTGGGTTAACAGAGTAAGAGCCCAGCTGTTTCTAGATTTGGGAAAGATCTTGGAGTGAAAATGGGACGTGAACACGTATAATGCCCTCTGCACCCGCCACCTCTCGTAAGGGACAGAGTAGGTCAGGGGAGGAAGAGACCCTGTGAGATCTTGTATGGGTAGAGCCTGGAGGGGAGGCAAGAAGTGAAGGCTGAGGGTCGGGGATAGGTAAGGGTGTTTGGGATGCAGAGGGAGAGGGAGGGGGGGCAGAAGGTTTCGAGTAGGGAGGAGGAGGGGTAGGGATTCCCCTGACTGGGGGACCAGTGAGACCCTCAAGAAGTTCTGAGAGGGGGGAAGGATGATAGGAATCAGGGCCTTTTGTTTTGTGGGTAGAAGAAGGTGGCGCCCATGCCAGAAGGACTTGTGCAGTCAGTGGAACAGAGGGAAGAACGAGAGCAGAGGTTCCAAAAAGCCTGAATGTAAGGGACCTGAGACCATTCACCCTGGCGTTGACAAAGGTTGTTCAGATCTGTAAGGGTCTGGTAAGTCGCCATTTTCTGAGATCCTGTGAGAACCCCAGAGTTTCAAAATTGGCCAGTAGACAACCCAAGGTAGTTTTGGGGGTCAAATTTGGATTGGGCAGTTCCCACGATTCCTGACAGGTAACCCAGACACTGAAAACCGGTGTCCCCATTTGCAGCTCAGGGTCACGGACAGAAACAGGTCACCATGAGGATGAGGATGTCTCCTGATCTCTAGGGACCAATGGAAAGCCACCCGGTGGCTCAGTGGAGTTGCCCTGGTGTGGCTGTGGCTTCAGGCAGTACCACCTGGACAGGGGCACAGAATTGGGGGAACTGCCCAATCCAAGGCATTGGGTTCAGACAAGGTCCTGGTGATGAGAGGAGAGAGGTTCCCCACCAGAGTGCGGCCTTGATCTCCTCCTGGGTTTCCCCACCAAATGTCAGGTTTAATCCAATTGGTAGTGAAATGAAATAGAGAGGCCAGGCAAAAGTTGGTTGAGGCAAGCTTTTAATGAGATGTGCTCTCAGGCAAGGTTCCGTGGCCCACAGGAGAGGGAGAGAGTGGGGAGTCATGGGCCAGGGAAGGCGTGCCCAAAGGGAGTACATGTGAGCTTTTAAGGGGGGAGGGGTGGGGAGTTGTGTCTGTATGGGGTGATAACTGCTTATGCCCTTATATGGGGTTTGGGTAAGGTGTGGTTCAGGTTTCCTGCATAGGTCCTGTCTCCACCTGATGTTGTGTCCATGGGCGGTCTGCTGGTGGTGGGAAAGTTCTGAGGGGAGGGTAACAAGATGCAGGGTCTGCCGCCATTTTGTTGGTGCCTCCTGATCCCCCTTGATCCCACTGGCCCAACAATTACTTGATTCTAGGAAGAGTAGATACTACCACAAACATGAGCCATGGGGAAGGGACACTTTTTTGAGGTTCCTATAGTGTTCCCACACCTATGTACCAAAGGTTGTAGATGCCACACAGAGGTGAAACATGATAGTATTTATAAAATGCTTAGGACAGTGTCTGGCATATGGAAAGCACTCAATAGTGGATAGTCCCCTCCTCTGGTCATGTGTGTCCTGAGGTTTGAGGTGACCTGAGGAGGCCTCCAATGTCCTAACCACAGGCGCAAGCCTGTCTGTATGGAGGTCTGACCAGGGGTAAGATGAAGTGCGTTGACTTTTCATTTCCTTCCTAAGATCCAGGATTCTGCTGGACTCTGCCACTGTCCATCTACCTGTGAGAATAATTATCAGTTGCCCTCACTTATTCGTGAGATAAATCATTTTTATCAGTCTCTTACTATTTTTTTTAGCCAATCTTGAGTTATTTTCAGCATTATATAAAGGACACTACGTTATTTGTCAAAATCTTGGGTTTTTTTTTCTCTCTTTTACTATTTTTATCAAGCTTTTTTATTTCCTCCCTTCTTCCCTCCCTTCCTTCTTCTCTTTCTCTGCCTTCCTCCAATTCACTTTCCTCCATCCCTTCATCCCCCTCTTCCTGCCTTCCCTCTTTTTCTTTCCTAATTGCTTTCTTTTGCTGTTTCATTCTTTCTCTAATTTTTCTTTCCTTTTTCTCTCTTCCTCTCTTCTTTCCCCTCTTTTATTCCCCCTCCCCTTTCTTCTTTCAACATCTAATCTGGTAAGATTTTGTGCTAATAACCAGGGAAAGACAGAAATAAGTTGTCTTGTCATAAGGAATCTTCTATCCCTAGAGGAAAACAGAAAGTCCAAAGGGAAATGGAAGTAAGAAGTGTAGGGCCCAAAGGGATGCCCATGTAGGTCTCACTGGGCCTCAGCTTGCCTGGATGTCTTCCACTCTTTGTCTCGAAGCTTCTTCCGCTGGATTTTCCCTGTGATAGTCTTGGGCAGCTCAGAAACAAACTCCACCTGTTGGGAAAAGTTAGCCTAGCGTGGGCCATCTGTGACCCCAGTATATTTTTCAGAACTGCTATAGGGTGAGAAGAAGCTCTTGAGGCTGGAGGCTCCAGGTGAGTGAAGACTGAGATTGGAACACTCCCAGGGCAGCCCCTAGGCAATAAGAAGCTTCAGAAAGTGTTCTGGGACAAAGGCAAGAAGACAATGGCTGGAATGGTACATAAAGGTCCAGCCAATGGTGTCTAACATACCCTGGGACAGAAGAGAAGCAGCACAGCAAATGTGACACTATGCAGTCCTCAAACACCTGAGCTTTGACATCACCATAGGAAAGGCCTATGGTCTTTCCTCTACCGCCTCCCTGGCTTTGGACAGGTCACTTGACTTTCCTGAGACAATTTTCCCACTGAGTTAACTGTAGGATAGTAACAACTTTGTTGGGTTATTGTGAGGAAAAAATGAAATTAGGCAAGCTAAGTTTTTGGCATGGGTAAACACTCAAAATATTAGCTGTGGTTATTAACCTGGACTACAGACAGTAAATAGTTAAGAGCTAGGAGACTTGACTTTGAATTCCAGCTCAGTCATTTCCTGTTGGCAGAACTATAAGATCTCTCCAATCGCATTTTTTATATCTGTGGGGAAGAATGTTTGAAGTCGAGGACCCCTCCATCTCTAATATTCCTGAATCCTAAGATATGGATGATGAAGACAGTTCACAGAGACTTCCTTATTACAAGGCTCAGCTTGCCAGGGCATTGGTCCAGGAGTCAGATGGTTGTGAGTTTGATAAAAGTAATAAAAATAGGGATACCAATACTAATATGGAAAAAAGTTATTTTCTTAAAAGTTGATGTGGGGGTATTACATAGTCAAGACTAACTTTGTTGAGGGAGGGATTTGGTAAAATCACAATGGGATGGAGCAGGGATTCATAGACTATACCTAAGGGCAAAATCCAGCCCTCATCCTATGTTTGTAAATGAGGTTTTATCAAAACACAGCTACACCTATTCATTTCCTGTGGTCTCTGGATGCTTTAGCACTATAAGGCAGAACTGGATAGAGGGTAAAGGCTATAGATGCAGGGTAAAGAAGCCACAGGGGAGATCTAGGAAGGGTTTGGTCCTAGGAAGGAGGAAAGAGATCAAAGAATCCTGCCCAAAGCATTCTAGAGGAGAGACTTTTAAAAAGAGACACATCTATTGAGTAATATAACATTATATTGTGGATCCACTGGATCCTCCAAAATATTCAGTTACAATTCAAAATTCATAATATATTGGGTGTTATTAAATTTCTAATTCCCCTTAAAAATACTTATTAAATGCTTATTATGTGCTAATCTTCTGAGTGCCTGTGTCTTACAAATATTAATTCTTCTTATTAACAACCTGGAAAGGAGTAACACTATTGTCCCCATTTCACAGACAAGGAAAATGAGGCATAGAGAGATTGTTGCGTAAGTGATAGAGATCAATTTTGAATGCAACTGTCTTATTCTATAGATTGTGCTGTACTGACTGCCTTACTATGAGTTTGAGGCTGAAAGTCTATGTGGTGGAATCTTTGATGGGCTGCTAGATTCCCCTGCAAGAATGATTTAACCCTCCCAGCTCCCACTGCCAGATCTCCCTGGGGACTGCTGCAGCCAAAGGAGAGCTGCCACTCCCAGGGCCACATCCCCATTCCAGCACAGCCTACATCCACGCCTGATCTACATGGAACTATACAGCACTCTCCCAACCTCACCTGCAGCTCCGGATCTCTGAAAGGTTATCCTGCCTGCAGAACTCCCCATGGGGTTGGCTGAGGCCCTCAGTGACATAATATCACAGTGCATCTTCACCTTCTGCCCAATCCTGCACCCTTCTCTTCCCTTCTCTTTCTTTCTCCAGACATTGATCCAGAAGAACTCCCTAACAAACCTCTTATATGTTAATCGAGTCTGATTCTTGGAAAATCCACTTGCAACAATTAACCTATGCTGACAAAGCATCATGAGCTTCTACGTTAGGTACACATCTCAGTAGCTTTAAATTTAATATAGTTGCTCTCATCTCTACCAGAGACTCAAAAACATTTTTTTCTCTTTTCCCTGGGGCAAGCTCCTACCTACCTCCAAAACTGGGTCCCCCTTCAGTCAACCCCCATGCCTTAGTTCCCTGTCTCAGAATGAAAACAGGTCCAGCGGATTCTATACTTTCTGCCTTTTCTGGTAAGAGCATATTCCTATGGGAAGCCACCCCTCTCTCCCTCCATCCATATCATGGGTATAGCAGTTTTCTCTCCATCTTTCCTGAACTTGTTTCAGAGGTGATCACATGACCCAGAACTGGCCAATCAAAGTGTTCCCTCACCCTAGTTATAGGGATTATTTAATGATGGGCCCATGACCTAAATTTGTCCAATGAGCATCAACCTGAAGACTTGCTGATGCCTTGCGGGGAAAGATGCTCTTTTATTACTGTGATTTGCTAAACTGCTAAAAACTTATGTTTGGAGCTGCTGGTAACCATTACAAAGGAGGAAAATTTTAAGAAATGAAGCCAGTACAGAAAGAGAGTCAAGAGGTGAAAGAAGCATCCCTGATTATATCATTTGAATGTCTGGTACCAGCCACAACTAAAGATGCCCCCATCCCTGCACTTTTCAATTGTGTGAGTGATACAGTTCATGTTGGATTTCTGTTTCTGACAAGTGAAAGAATCCTGAACAAATAGCAAGACCCCAGTGCAGAGAGTAGGAATTTGATGGGGTATTGGCCAGAACTTGTTCCCATGGGAGCCCTCAACTTTCAATTCAAAGCAAGCTCAGCAAGCCTGAGGCCAATTTTCAACATCTAAACAGCTATTGGATGGTCTTTTGGGACTTGCTTGGTTAGAGTCAGTCAGAACTTTGGCATTATAGGCATTACCTGCAGCCTGAAAAAGAGAAATACAAGAAGAGAAATATCTCTTGTTCCTCAAGTGAGGGTAGCATGGGAGTTCGGAGGCCTCACCTTCCTTGGGTACTTGTATGGGGCTGTTACTGACTTCACATGCTGCTGTAGCTCCTTGGTGAGCTGGTCCAGGTTGTGGAACAGAAACTGTGGGGCCAGAACTACAAATGCCTTCACCACCTACCGGGAGGATGAGGGCCAAGAGAGAAGGGATCAGTGTGTTGCCATATCCTGGAATAATACAGAAGTAGAGTTAAGGCTTCCTACCAAATCTACCACCTGTATATCCCCTCAACTGTGCCTCCAGATATTTGGGCAAAGGAAAGGGAACAAAGAGGGTTAACAATACCTAAGGTTCCAGTTATCTTTAAAGTGGCTTATTGGATGGGTAGGCAGGACTATAAATTAAAAAGTACCTTCACTTCATAACCTAGGGATAACAGAGAGTGAAAGGGAGAAACTTCTTAGAAGAGCAAAAAACAAAGACTGTAGTTTGTACCTCTATAAAAGGATAACCCAATTGTCATAATTAATTCATGGGAAATAAAATGAAATCATATATAGCAAGCCATAGCTCAGTGCTTGGCACAGAGGGATTTTCAGTAGAGGATCCCCTTTGGGCTTCCCTTGTCTAGTGGCTCCTATTATTTCCATGGGTGACATGACACATATCTGCCAGAGATATGATGTTCAACTTGTACCCTATCAAAATGTACTTGGACATTGACCCCCCCCCACCTCTGTACCTTACTTTTCTCTACACATATACCAAGTCTGTTAGACTCCATCTGGGCCTGTTTCTATAGCCGTAACATCAAAGGGGTCTTCTTCCTTATGTTCTTGTAAACCCCATGGCTTAGGGGCTCTACCCCTTGGCTCAAATCCCTCCTCTGTTCTAGTCAGGAATCAAATTTGGATTCAAATGGCAACCAGCAGAATGAAATAGCTGTGGCCTCATAATAATTGTCCTTGTATGGTGCGCCAGGCTTTGTTGCAAGCACTTTACAAATATTAACACATTTCATTCTCACAATAACACTTCATCTTACAGATGGAAACTGAGGCTCAAAAAGGCTGAGTAACTTGCCCAAGGTCACACAGCTAGTAAGTGGTAGGGCTTTCCAGCCCATAGATTTCATCAAATCTTAACCACCAAGCCATGTGCCTTCGTCTCCAAAAGTTGCACACCCCACCTCCTACCCCTGCAGCCACGGGCTACTGCTCCCATGTCACCTCTTTTCGGACAGGGTCTGGGCTGCTGATTACAGCTGTCTCAATTACAGCAGGATGCTCCATCAGTGCATTCTCCACCTCTGAGGGCCCAATCCGATACCTGTAGAAGAGCCTGTCTTTCAGAGAACACTAGACACTCAACTTCTTGGCCAGCCCAAAAGTTCAGAACCAGCCAGAATAAAGATCCAGATTACCCTTTCCAGCCCAGTAACGAAGCTCACCCACTGGAGTTAATGATATCATCTGACCGGCCTATGAACCGGAAATAGCCGTCTTGATCCTTGATTGCCCGATCTCCAAGTATCCAAAAATCCCCTCGAATGTTGGCTGCTGTCTTCTCAGGATTGTCCTGGTGACCACAGAGAGTCATAGTCACTAGAACTACAAAGCCTAAATCCTCTGCCCCAGGGCTGGCATGAACAGATTTGTAGATTGAACAACTACACATGATGGTCTTGCCCTCAGCCCTCAGATGGACCTGGAACTTTCCCTTTTATTTCAATTATTGTACCTAGTGTCTCTCAACTACTCTCCAGGGCCCAGTCTGATGGATACTATTGATTCATTTATTCACCTATGCTCTTGGGCATCATGTTGTAGTGAGCACACAATAAATGGCAGCAACTATTAGCATTGGATTTATTTAAGTGATTATTTCATCATCTTGGTATCAGAAGGTGTATGTTTGAGGTCTCCTCTGCCCATTTTTTCAATAGTAGTGGTCTTGGTTGACTCCTTTAATCTCTGACTTCACTATCCATCCTCATCTGTATAGCAAGCCAGTCAGGCTTGAGGATCATCTATTTCTAATGTTCCAACGTCTGAAGATAGGGAAGTTTCCACCTACATGGTAAGGTCTCAGTGTCATGTCTAGGATGGCTCTAAAGGATATCAATGGGGGACAGATACTTGGAGAGGGGCAGGGTTGCCTTGGGAGAGTACTGCTTTATGTAGTTTGGGGATAATAAACTTTTTGACATGGAACATTTTTGGGGGGGTGGAAAAGGGTAATAGGAGAAAGATAATTCTTCAAGAAGAAGAATTTGGAGTAGGTTAAGGATGGCAGGGGTGAATACCCAGTTTTGTTTTCTCTCCACAAAGTGCCCATTCTTGGACACTGGACCTGTCCCATGTCCTGTCATGGTTTACCTCTTGGGAGGTACATAACTTTGCCCCCCCCCCATCCCTCTCAGAGTCCACTATCTTCATAGAGAACAGAGGGGAGGAGTTGGTTCCTCACCACATAACCAGAGAAGATGCCTATAGGCCTGATAGGCTTTACTCTGATGCCAATGTCTCCCTCGATGCCAGGGGGCAAGACATTGCCCTTGTCATCCACGACCTGAAGGAGGAAGCAGATAGAAAGTAGATTCTATGTGGCTGGAGCAGCAGCATGGAAGAGCTGATCTGGTCTGATGGAAGACCCTCTTGCTCTAGTGGTGATTGAAAACAAGAACCAGAAACAAAGAGGAGCAAAGAATTTTACATCCCAACCTCTAATCCATCTACCTGGGATGGTTGAGGTAAACCCCCTTATTGAGACTGGACCAGATGACCTTGGGAAGAGAACCTCCTGTCTGTGGGAGCTCAGTAAATAGAATAGCTTCCCATGACCTTTGTAGGCCATGAACTTGGACATCAGACAGATCAAAACTCAAATTATGGCTCTTTACTACTTGACTTTGAGCTGCCTAAGTTCTATGTTTCACTGCCTTCATTTGTATGACAGAGATAATAACAGCTTATGTCACAGAATTATATGAGAATGAAGAAAAATATTTTAAAAAGGATATTAAAAATGATTATAGGGGCACCTGGGTGTCTCAGTCAGTTAAGCATATGCCTTCAGCTCAGGTCATGATCCCAGGTTACTGGGATGGAGCCTCATGTCGGGCTTCCTGCTCAGCGGAGAGCCTGCTTTCCCCTCTCCTTTTCTCCTCCCTCTCCCCTGCTGATGCTCTGTCTCTTTCTTAAATAAATAAATAAATAAATAAATAAATAAATAAATAAATAAAATCTTTAAAAAATGATTACACACCGAGTGTCATACACAATTGATGATTATTGAAATCTACACCTGAAACTGATGTACTACTATATGTTGGCTAATTGGATTTAAATTTTAAAACTTATGATCATAGTCAGGGGGAGGGAGAAGTAGGCAATTACAAATAACACTGAATAGAGTATAAGTTGTTATACATTTTAGATACATATATCTATGCATGTAACCATAAACAGAAATTCTATTTCTTGGAATTTAGCCCAAAGAAATAATAAGGGAAAAGAGCAAAATTTTAGGTAAAACATCTTGTTTAATGTTTTTACTAGTGAAAATTTTGGAAATCATCCATTGACCAACAAAAGGCATAAAGAGTAGTGGAACCATACTATCTATTACTAGGTAGTCATTAAAACTCATGTTGTAAGTAGATATTATTTGACCTGAAAAGATGGTCACCCAAGTTTGTTCAAGGATAAAAGTGAGTTACAAAATGATATGTCAAGACTGACTCTTATTTTTTAAAAAAAGTGTATATATTTATGTAAATAGCTAGCTACTTAATTTGCTATTCAAAGTGGTTTTCTCTGGATTATATAAATATGATTAATTTTCTTGTGTCTTTCCTTTCTCCCTTCCTCCCTTTCTTTCTTCTTTCCTCCCTTCCTTCCTTTCATTGTTACTCTTCCTTTTTAAATATGATTTAAATATGTTTAATTTCAATTATTTTTCCTCAGTGAACAATGTAATAAATAAATTACTGGAAAATTAGTGCATTCCCTATTTTTCCCTCCCTCCTTAGAGCCCTAACAAACCTGCACATCGTAATGAGGAATAGCAGTTCCCAGGTAACCAGGTTTGATTTTCATGTTCTTGGAAACTCTGCAAGTTACTCCCTGCAGAAAGTGGTAGATGGATTGGCAAACCTCAGGAGGAGTCATGTGGTCACAGAAAAAAACAAAGATTTAGTAGAGCAGAGCAGATCCTAACACAGTCATGAAGTGGCCTTTTCTTTGGTAGCTCCCTCTGTCCCTTTTCTTGGTCCCCCCCCAACCCTTGACTGGAACCCCCATCCTGAGGGGTTGCACTACATTGTTGGGAAAACAATCTGACTGATCCCTCCCCAGGGAAAAGGAACTGCCAGCCTCATCATAATCTATTTAGAAGGACCTATACTCTAACAGGGATGATGGACAACAAAAATCCTTTAAAACAGTATGGGATTAAATTACCTCTCATAAGAGAGCTAGCTCTGCTTGAATCCTAAAATGAATCCAACAGAGATGCTGGTATTGAAAGGAACATTCCCTAAACATTTCAGCTGGAAGTCCTTGCCACATAGCCATTGTCCTCACCCACATTTGCAAAGTTCTTCTACATCATATCACTCTCTTCCACAAGCTATCTCAGGAATCCTGCCAGGGAAACCTATTAGCCACAGAGGGGTGTGGGATGAAAGAGTGGAGAGGAGGAGGCCAGAGGTACTGAGAGTCACAAGAGGCATTGGAAAAGTTGCTGGGGAAACTATGCCTCAGGGTTTTTTTGATAAACAGTGTGGTACAGAGCAATATGAATTCACCTCATGCTCAAGGGGCCCCAAGAGTTCCAAGAAGACATCTCAGCAGGTAAGGTGGGGGTCTTAGCGGGTTCTTCTCCCCATTCCTCACTTTAGTCTGAGCAGCTTAGTACAGAGGATAACATGCTTGATAAATTCAGGTCTCTGCTGAAATGTTACCTCATTAAAGAGGACTTCCCTGATATCCATATCAGAAATACCAGTTCCTCAGCCTATCTCACCCCATCTCACCTGCTTTACTTTTTTTCCATAAAATGTCTCACTGTCTGCTATGTCATATATCTATTAGTTTATGTCTCAACACCCCCATTTCCACTGGAATGTAATGTCCAGGACAGTAGGAGCTTTGGCTGCTTTGTTGATGCTAAAACAGTACCTATTCCATAGTAGTTGCAAAATAAATATTTATTGAATAAGTGCATGATAAGTAGTGGCTCATATTTTTATTATCATAGAACCTTTGGAAGCCCACCAGGTTCACCAGCACATGGTTCCCCTAGGAGTAGGTACCGTTTCCGTCTGGCCATACAATTCTCGGATGTCCAATCCTGTCCGAGCCCTCCAGTTCTCCAAAATGTCTGGAAGGAGAGTGTCCCCTCCAGTGTAACAGTTCTGTAGATGTGGGAACTTGTAACTGAAGGAGAGAAGAGAGGTAAATATTCACCCTGAGCCTCCCTAGAACCAACTCTGTCCAGGCCTAGAGAGGATTCTAGGTACTTTAATGATGAGGTAGGCTTCACAGGGCAACCTATGCTTAACAGGTCAGAGAGATGAGCATATGTGTATGTGGTGGACATGGGAGGATGGGCCAATAAACCCACAGGCTCTTACCAACCCCCAAAGCCTCATCACCTAGAAAAATCCTGTTGTATCAACATCTGGTAAATGATGGGTGCTCCTATAAAGTTGTTGATTGGGTAGCTGGACAGCACCTGGAGGGAGAGAGCCGACTGACACTAAGCACCAGGTTAGGTACAGAACTTACCAGCATGCACAGTGGTTGCAAGCATGGGTCCTGGAGTTGAGCTCTGGAAATCTTACTTTCTTTATTCTATTTCAGACCAAATTCTTAAGTCAAAAATAATAGAGAAATAACCACCTATCATTTTAAAGAAAGGGTCCAGGACTAATTTGGAATATTTTTGTCAAATTCTGGCTCACTATTCCTGCCAATTTAATGACCAGCCCCCATTAACACACCTCTAGAATTATGTAAACCCCTAGTCACCAAGGGAAGGAGCTCAGTTACTGTTGCAAATCAGAAATATTGTCTTGGTTAAGTCACTTAACCTTCCAGGACTAGCTTTGTTAACAGATGAATTCCAGCCCTATTTTCCTGAAAATATTTTTGGGACATAATTCAGGTAGAAAAGTGCTTTGAAAAGTTAAAAGTACTGGGGTGCCTTGGCGGCTTAGTCAGTTAAGCTTCCAATTCTTGGTTTTGGCCTGGGTCATAATCTAGCCTATTGTTGGGCTCTATGCTCAACAAGGAATTTGCTTGAGGATTCTCTCTCCCTCTCCCTCTCCCTCTCCCCTCCCCCTTCTCATGCTCTCTCTCTATCTAAAGTAAATAAATATTTTTTTTAAAAAAGAAAAATCGTAAGTACCTATAGACAATTCATTAGAAATGTTACTAAAAATAGCTAGAACTGAATACTTGCCAGCCCCTGTTCTATCTCATTGAATTCTCACAATAACCTCATGGAGTATGTATTATCAGTCCCGTTTTAAGAAGGGAAAACTAAGAGGTTTAATTAAGTAATTTGCTCAAGGTCATACAACCAGCAGTGAGTGGAACCAGCATTACTGGCCTGTACTTTTAACTATTATGCAACACCAACTCCATCCCATGTTTTGCTTCACACATACTTTACTATAAAGAGTGGTTCAGGCAAAAATGTCTAGAAAAAAATACTAACATTAGCACATCACACAGTTATTTCCTCTGAGTGTTCTTAATGAACTGGTATAAGTGATGAAAATTTTCTCATTTTCCTTATTGCTTTGCCTTGCAGGAAGCCCAACATGCAATCAGCTACTTATTTGCTATACTTCTCCTTACTTTTCTTAATTTCACCCTCTCAACCCACTGAAATCCCCATCCTATATTTTCCTAATATGCTTTACAATTTTACATCTGTTTTCTATTTTTGACACTTAACACAAGCCACTTCAAATCCTTTCAGAAGGAGGCAGTTACTCTATTTAAATTTGTTTAAAATAGGGAGTAATGGAACCATCTGTAAAGAATCTCTTGAGAGAACCTAGACCATGCTTGACCTTTGATCTTTAAGTATGCCATCCATGTCTCAGTTTGCTCCCAGGGTCTCTATTGCCAGCCAAACAGAAATCTGAGTGAGCCATTAATCACTTCAGAGACCTGAAGGCCTCAGAACATCAATGGTCCAATTCTCCATCACAAGTAGAATCTAACATAGTGTATGACTTTGCAAGCAAAATAAACCCATTTACATGGCTTTGATGGTACAGGGTCATGTAATATATAAATATTATTTAATGGCTGACCCATGAATTTCCATAGGAAAAACTCTACCTAATATTCAACACCAAAAAGCAAGAGCCCATTAAATATGTTTTGGGTAATGAATGGCCTATGATGACTGCCTCTTAAACATATTTCTTTTATCTGTATATGGGTCTCTCTGCTTTCTTGGATCAGGAGCTCAATGAGGGCAGGGACCTTTCCATCTCGCTTACTGAATACTGTCTATCCATGTGGCAAGACTTAGTAAAAAAAAAAAAAAGCCGAGTTGAAAGAAACCATAATAAATTGGAGTGTGCAAACCTTGAACTTCTTCTGACCATCAGGTGCAAACTGGATCCTATCTTACCTTTAGAATGATGACTGGGTCAAATTTTGGCAAGAGATGGATAAATGAGCATGCTCCTACTGCCCAAGGTTCCAGAAATGAAGCTATGATGTTCAATATCCAAGCTGTGTCTGATATGACCCACATTATGTCAGAAGGCTGCATGTCTGTCCAAACACTGAGAATATAGAAGAAATACATGTGTATATACATGAGTGCATGATGGGATAGGTGGAGAATGAGTGTGTGGTGGGCAGAGGGGAAAGTGTGTTTGCATAAGTGTATGGATATCTAAGTGTGTGTGTGTGTGTGTGTGTGTGTGTGTGTGTAGCACTGTGCATAACTATAAGGAGGCAGGGGGAAGGGGAGTTGTTCTATCCACACACCCCTATTTCAAGAAGAAGCGAGTATTCAGAAGGTGTGATCCCAGTAGACTTGACTTAACAGATAACTAGGTCTCATTGTCATTTTATCCCCAGAACTTAGTAATTTGGGGCATGAGGTAACTACCCAGAAAATGTTTACTAACAAAAGACATATAAGTGAATATTCTAAAAAAAGTGGCCTTGCTAAGTTCAAGTTTGGCCAGATAGACCTTTGGTTTTCTTAAAGAATCATGAATTGCCTGAGCACAGTGGAAGGTATTATACAGGATGAAATGTGTGTCTTTCTCTCTTCAGACCAGAATAAAAGTTGTTAGCCCTGTCTTAGAGCAAAAATGATTCAGGCTAGACACAAAGAACTTCCCTGTGCCTGGGAATCACCATAGTCTCTTACTGAAGATGATTAATATTTTCAGCTCTGTAGGGAAATTGTGTCCTATTGGGACCAAATTTTGAGGTGAGGGGTGGAAATTTAATATCTTACATTTAAGTGATTTATCACTCCACCTTTTGGAAACTGCATTTTTACTATAGCTCTTCTATTAACTAATTTAATCTTCTGGCACTACAGGTTCATAGATGGGACATTTAAGTTTTTGAGATTTTTTTTGCATTAAAATATTTTTCCAGTTCTAATAATAGACTTAACATGATAAGCAGGATATCCTGAAAAAAGAAAGAAGACTCTGAATATCTCTTAGTATTATTGCATGACAACCTTGGCACAATATTTTCTGATTCCTTTGATGAGGTTGATATATAGCAAAAGGTAATTTTGAATTATAGAATCTTAGATTACCTCATTACGGTTGACGCTTGAACACTGTGGGTTTCAACTGCATGGGTCCACTTACATGCAGATTTTTTTCAATAGAGTACATGTACAATAGTGTAAATGTATTTTCTCTACCTTATGACTTTCTTAGTAAAATGTTCTTTTCTCATGCTTACTTTATTGTAAGAATAGAGTATATAATGCATATAACATACAAAATATGTTTACTATTTATGTTATTAATAAGGCTTCTGGTCAACAGTAGCCTATTAGTAGTTAAGTTTTGGACTCCTAACTCTGGGAAATGAACTAGGGGTGGTGGAAGGGGAGGACGGCGGGGGGTGGGGGTGACTGGTGGGCGGGCACTGAGGGGGGCACTTGGCAGGATGAACACTGGGTGTTATTCTGTATGTTGGCAAATTGAACACCAATAAAAAATAAATTTATTATTAAAACCAAAGTTTTGGAGTAGTCAAAAGTTATCCCTGGATTTTCAGCTACACAGGGGCCAATGCCCCTAACCCTTGTATTACTCAAGGGTACACTATAATCCAATTATAGCTTCTACCTCAACAGATTTGAAAAGTAATTTGATGCTGATATCCAAAATGCCCTCCTGGAATGTGGGTGGCATCAAAACAAAACCAGCATTCCAAGAACAAGATATAGATTGGACTGGGAGGGGGAAATGCATATATACCCTGTGGTAATCCCATTAGACATATGGCTTAAAGTACTCAAAGCACTGAGTACTTGGAGATATCAAGTTATCCGAAACAAAAATGTCCCACCAAAGGTCACTAGATACCCAGCTTGCTAAGTTATGCTCCCTCTTGCCCCACTTCTCGACTGTCTTTCTCAGAAGCACCAGATGGTAGCCCATTCAAAGAAAACTGTATTTGAGCTTGGTTAATTCTCAAGCCCTGTAGTTCTCTGTAGAGAGAAAAGTTTTCTCTTACCCAATATCCATTTTGGCCTTCATGCCCAGGCTTGAGTGGGAATGTTCCACCATCTTGGGAAGGCCAGTAGTCCCACTGGTGAAGTAGATGGCAGCTGCTTCTTGGCTTCCTGTCTCTACACAGCAATGAGTGGTAGATGCTTCTCTGACAAAGACACAGATTGTCACATTCTCAGATGCTCTCTGGACACCAGATGTCCTGGCGACTCATTTCTTCTCACATTCCCCCATACTGGCAAGGGCAAGTCAGCCAACGCACTTCAGAAGGTGTGCTTATGAATGGTTAAGATCAAGGGATTCTGAGTCAGTCACACTTGGACTCAAATGCCACTGAAATGTGGCACTTTAACTATGTGACTTTGGACTATTTCACTTCTCTGAGTTTCACTTTCTATATCCGTGAAATATCATCAATAATACCCATCTCATAGAGTTACTGAGAAAACTAACTGTAACACAAAGAAAATGTGTTATTCAGCAAAAACTCAATAAATTTTAATCTGATTGTTGTTAGGAGCCCTTGCATGATATCAGGTAAATAGTAGGTGCTCATTTAGTTTTAGTTTTTGCAATATAACCTCTTCTGTTCCCTTGACCTCCCTCTCTTGAGCATCTCCTCTAGTGTCCCAATTTCAAGTCATTAAAAGCTGGTTGCATGTTGTCTCCTTCTCTGACAGTTATCGTTAAAATAATGATGTTAGAAAAAGCTTTTGTTCTCCCTAAGGGTTTCCTAAGATCTATGTCTCTAATGGAGGGAGTCCAGACATGTAACGAAACTCCTGCTCATAAGTTCAGTTTCTACCTTTGGTGAAAACACAGGCTGAGACATACAAATACTCACCGCAGTAGTGTCCTAAAGTCTAGCCACCCATCCCGGCTTTTCTCAGACACCAGTAGCTTCGTTTTCAGAGAAGGGCAGTCAGAGGCTATGGTGTCCACTAACTGGGCCACTTCATCCCCAGCCACGATGGCCCTGGCTTTAGACACCTGCAGCCTATAGAGAATGTCCTTGGTTCTCATTTGGATAGTCCCGGGAATGAAGACGAGGCCTAGAGAAGCCAAATGTCTTAGAGAGAACTGGAAAGGAGGATTATTTTCTGCCCTAGAAAAGCCTGATGTAAACAACCAGTGGGGAACAAATGGGGAAAGAGAGGTTGGAGAAGGGGTGACCAATGGGTGATATCAATAACAAGGCATCCAAGGTCAGAGAGAGATTTGAACACATATTTCCTGGGGGTGTTAGAACTATAAGGGATCTACCAGGGCTACAGAAACTGGGTTGCCTGATATGCCATGGACAGTCTAACACACACACACGTACACACACAATGCCTTAAAGGAGTTTCCTGTTTCAAAAGACTTTCACACAGTAATTAAACTAAGGAAAGGCACTTGAAATTTCTCCATCCTGCAATGCAGGTCCTGTTCTAGGGCCTGGTTACTTCTCCAAAACCTGGAACACTGAATTTTCTTGGGGAAGACACCTCTTGGTTTTCTGTTTTTGTTACCTATCTTGATGAGACTCAGGTAATTTTGTTTATTCTTTGGACAATAACTAGAATTATAGTTCATCATTCACAGAGCTGATTTCACACGTTCCTCCTGATGGAACAGCTTTTACCCTTGGTTCACTTTCTTCCCATTCTTAACACTTCAGGATCCATATTGCAGATCTGTTAACCATCTCCGGTGTATCTCCACCATGATGGCCATGTTGAGTAAGGGACACAGAATAACCAACCTCTCCCTCACTGACTTCTCCTTCCCATAATCTCTTAGTGCATCATCTTCTTTGTGGGGCCTCAAAGGCCTACGGTTGTTTCTACTTCCTCTGATTACTCCTACGTCTTGATCATACTTACATCTTCCACCTTATTGATGAGAATATCTGTTATATGTGAGGGAGGCCAGGATGGGTAGGGTGAGAATGAGGGTAGGTTGTACAGGAGTTTCTGGGACTCTTTCTTATACCTCCTCTCTTTCATATCTAAAGGTTGATGATTCTTGAATTTCTGTCTCCATCTCAGATGTTGTGCCCTTCAATGCAACTTCTCACTTCCCATCTCTTTTCTTTTTCTCATACATATTTCTGATTGAGATATAATTGAAATATAACAGTGTACTAGTTTTAGGGGTACCACATAATAATTTGATATATGGATATATTAATGAAATGATTACCATTCTAAGTTAACATCTATCACCACACATCATTACATTTTTTTTTTCTGGTGATAACTTTTAAATTCTACTCTCTTATGGGGAAAATTAACAAGGCAGGAAACGACAAATGTTGGAGAGGATGCAGAGAAAAGGGAACCCTCTTACACTGTTGGTGGGAATGTGAAATGGTGAAGCCACTCTGGAAAACTGTGTGGAGGTTCCTCAAAGAGTTAAAAATAGACCTGCCCTACAACCCAGCAATTGCACTGCTGAGGATTTACCCCAAAGATGCAGATGCAATGAAATGCCAGGACACCTGCACCCCGATGTTTCTAGCAGCAATGTCCACAATAGCCAAAGTGTGGAAGGAGCCTCGGTGTCCATCAAAAGATGAATGGATAAAGAATATGTGGTTTATGTATACAATGGAATATTACTCAGCCATTAGAAATGACAGGTACCCACCACTTGCTTCAATGTGGATGGAACTGGAGGGTATTATGCTGAGTGAAGTAAGTCAATTGGAGAAGGACAAACATTATATGGTCTCATTCATTTGGGGAATATAAATGATAGTGAAAGGGAATAGAAGGGAAGGGAGAATAAATGGGTGGGAAATATCAGAAAGGAGACAGAACATGAAGACTCCTAACTCTGGGAAACGAACTAGGGGTGGTGGAAGGGGAGGAGGGCCGGGGTGGGGGCGAATGGGTGACTTGCACTGAGGGAGGCACTTGACAGGATGAGCACTGGGTGTTATTCAGTATGTTGGCAAATTGAACACCAATAAAAAATAAATTTATTATTAAAAAAACTACTCTCAGCGACTTTCGAATACACAATACAGTTCCCATGCTGTACATTACATTCTCCGGATGTTATTTTATAACTGGAACTTCTTATCCCTTCTTGAAAACCACATGGGTACCCCATAATTCAATAGTTACCAAATTGAACCTTCCACCTTACCCTGACAGCCCCATACCTACTTTTCCCTGTGGTCCTCACTTCAGTGAAGCCCACGGCACCCACCCAGTGCCAGAATATCTATGACTTCTCCATCTCTCTGGCTTTATTCCTCTATCATATGCCATTCATCAAAAAATGGTGTTCTCAGTTTCCTCCTAATTACCTCTTAAATCCAACCAATTACCTCCATCTCCAAAACCCTATCCAAGGTTGAAGCCATCATCATTCCTTATTTCCTGTCTGGGTTTCCCACACCTGCTCGCCCTCCTTCATCCTATCAATATGCACCATCCATGGTGACCCCTAAGGAACAAAGTATGATCATGTCACTCAATCCATCCATGCTTTTCCATTCCTCACTCGATAAGGATGCAAACTCCTCACCATGGCCCCCAGGACACTTCCCATCTTTCCAGGGTCACTTGCCACTACTTTATCCTTGCTGCCTCTAAACACGCAGATATCCTTTCAGTTTTTTGCATAACTTGCAAGGTTTCATCCTCTCTGTGCTGTTCTCTCTGCTTGGGGCATTCCTCTCTGCATCTTCTTCTGGCTGAATCCCACTTATCCTTCAGATCCTAGCCCAAATATCACTCCACTGAGACGTCAGTGGCCCCCTCAGATTTCATAATAGCGGCTGGCAAAATTTTTCTGCAAAGACCCGAACAGTAGGTATTTTAGGCCTTGTGGGCCAGATGCTCTCTGTCCTAACCACTCAACCTGCCATTGTAGTGCAAAATCAGCTACAGACAATACATAAACAGGACATGGCTGTGTTAAAAAAAAAAAAAACAAACAACCCTCTATTTGCAAAAACAAGCTGCAGACCAGATTTGGTCTATAGGTCATAGTTTGCCAACTTTTTTCTTCCAATAGCTTCTTATGAAATTCTTGTGCCACTTATCAAAATTGTGATTAAATAATTATGTGTGCAATTAATAGTTTAAAGTTATCTCTCTCCAAATCTCTTTAAGCCCCATGAATTTATATTCCATGTTTTGATTACTGTATTAGCAACCTCTAGCACAGTGGTTGGTGCAGTTTACTTAAATAATTGGAAGAAGGGTGGTATTTCCATATGAGGAGAGACAGCATGCTATGTAGAGGGGGCATCTTTTGCGAGGGGCAGGTGGTGGAATTTCTTTGCCATCAGCTTCACCAGGGAAATAGTAATCAGGCCAGGTGGTCATTTACCAACCTGCTCGCATGCAGCCCAGGGTCACTAGCCACCACTCAGGCACTCGGGGCAGCACCATCACCACACGGTCCCCACGCTGCAGGCTACATGCCCCTGAAAGGACATTGGCTGCCTGCTGGCTGAGTTCACTCAGTTGGCTGAAGTTCCACACTATTTCATTTCCATCACCGCTCACCCACCATAGGGCTGGGCCTGGAGGTCGCTTGCCAGCCTGAAGAAAGAGAACACCTGCTGATCAGGGTGGGCTGGCTCACAGGCATGTAGAATAAATCCTGTCTTGGAATTATCACATCAATGCTTAGTAAACTTTTTGATCTCAGGACTGTTATACACTCTAAAGCGCTTTTATTTATATGGCTTTTATCTATCCATATTTACTATATTAGAAATTGAGAAATTTTACAAATGTGTACTTTTACAAATAACAGTAACAAGCCATTATATCTTACCACAAATATGTTTCAATGAAGACTGTGTACTTTCTAAAACAATAGAAAGTGGCTTTGTTTCACATTTTTTCAAGTCTCTTTAACACCTTCAGCACCTTCCTTAAGAGAAGACGGTTGGATTCTGGTATCTGTTTCTATCACTTTCTTTCTTTTCACCTGCTATGTATATATTCTCTGGAAAATACCACTGTGTACTTGTCAGAGTATGACAGCAAAAAAGGCAAATGTTATTTATCTTAGATTTATTTGCTTGTTATCCTCCCTCTATTTATGTATATATTTTTGTTTTTCAATTATGGTCAAATATACATACCATAAAATCTACCATCTCAATCATTTTTAAGTGTACTGTTCAGTGGTAATAAGTGTATTTGTATTACTGTGCAATTATCACCACCATCCATCTTTCTCATCTTTCTGGATGGAAACTCTGTCCCTATTATACAAGAAATCCCCAGTTCACCCTCCTCCCAGCCCCTGGCAACCAGCATTCTACTTTCTGTCTCTGAATTTGACTGCTCTAGGAACCTCATATAAATGGAACCATACATTTGTCCTCTGACTGGTTTATTTCACTTAACCTAAAATCTTCAAGGTTTATCCTTCTAGCATACAGTGGAAATTTCATTTTTTAAAAGACTGAACAATATTTCATTATATGGATGTGCCACATTCTGTTGAATGGATAAATTCATTCATTTACTGACCCTACCTTTTGGCTATTGTGAATAATCCTGCTATGAACATGGGTGTACAAATATCTTTCCAAGACCTTTTCAAGACCCTGCTTTTCATTTTCATCCATTTCCATGTATTTTTTAAGTTCTTCTTTGATCTCCTGGCTGACCCATTCATTGTTTAGTAGCATATTGTTTAACATCCATGTATTTGTGGTCTTTCCAAATTTTTTCTTGTGGTTGGATTCAAGTTTCACAGTGTTGTGGTAAGAACATAGGCATGGTATGATCTGTCTTCTTGAGGAGCTGCCCCACTGTTTTACATGGAAACCATACCATTTTACAAACCCACTGGTAATGCACAAGGATTCCAATTTGTCTTAGCTTTGTTCTGAAATAGTTTTGATTTCACAGATTACCCTGAAAGAATCTCAGGTATCCTCCGGGATTCCATACCATAGTTTGAGATCAGAACTACAATGTCAAAGATAAAATTTAATAGTAATCGTGTTAGATATTTCAAAATTCCTCAGTTGCATCATTTTGCACTTTGACAAGTAAGGTGGAAACGTGTCATTTTCCTTATATTCCTGTCAACAGAGCATGTCAAATTTCTGTATTTAACTAAATGGTAGGTAAAATATTATTTCAGTGAAATTTTATATCACTCTTACTATGAGTGGGGTTAATTATTTTTTCTTATATTTAAGGGCCATTTGAGTTCACGTTTTTTATAAAGATTTTATTTTTAAATTAATCTCTATGCCCAATATGGGGCTTGAACTCACAACCCCAAGATCAAGAGTCACATGCTCTAACAACTGAGCCAGCCAGGCACCCCTGGATACACTTTTCTGTAAACTGTCCATTCATACACCTTGCCCACTTGTACATTTGGTTGTATCTCTTTATTTTTGATTTCTAGGAGCTCTTTTTGTCTTGGGAATATTAACTCTTACGGTGTCATAGGAGTTGAATATCTTCCCCTGATTGCCATTCATTTCTTTATTTTATTTATGGTATTGCTTGTCAATGTAGTGGTTTTTTTATATTTATGTAGCTAATTTTTTAAATCATTTCTTTTATGGATTCAGAATTCTGAATCATGGTAATAAAGACCTTCTTCATTATTCTAAGGAGATATAACTTTTAAAGAAAAGTCAGAAACCTAAATTTTTATCTGAAAAATTTCAATTTTAAAATGTTGACTTAGGGGGCAGGGCAAGATGGCAGAGGAGTAGGGTCCTCAACTCACCTGGTCCCACCAACTTACCTAGATAACTTTCAAAACATCCTGAACACCTACGAATTCAAACTGATATTTAAAGAGAGAAAAGCTGGAACGTGACAGAGAGAAGGGTTTTCACTTCTAGCAAGGTAGGAGGGCAGAAAAAAATAAAATAAAAAAGAATCAAGTGGGGGAAGGGCACTGCGAGATGCCCAGCTAAGGCCAGGTAGTGAGAGCCTCTGGGACAGGAAAGCCCAGCCCCGGAGAAGCAGGAACTTTAAAAATCCACACCGATTCTTCCCAGAAGGAAAAGTGCTCAGCAGGGAAATCGGGCCGAATCACAGGGGGGCAGTGAAGCCTCCAGTTTCCCAGAGTCGCTAATAGAGGAAGTGCGCCCAGGGGAGAGCTCACCACAAACCGTGGGCTGATCTTCTTAAAGGGCTGGAGTGCACCTGGCAGGGCATCTGGGAGAATTCCATCGTTTAGGCGGGTTGCTCTGGATGGAGGGGTCTGCGCTCTGCTGCCTTCGGGAGATGCGGGCCCCAAAAGCGCTATTCCAGCAGCACAGGGTCCTGGATCCCAGGGTGCTGGGGGACACAGCCCACGATTCCTCACTCCCCAGGACAGGCGGAGATGGGGAAGGCACAGGACAGCGAGGACTCTCCTGCTGCTGGGCGCCCCCAAGCTGTGCAGATCTAGGCCCCGCACCAGCCTGGGAGCTTCTAGGCCAGTGCGGACTGGGAGACTGCATTAGTTACTGTAAGGAGCGGACTCCAGAGCTGGAGACCTGGCTGCCGCCATTGTCATTGCTCCTCCTTGTTTCACCACGTGCCTGGGAGAGGCGGGGCTACCAGAGAGCAGGGGCCTCACAGGATAAACAGCTCCCACTGAGCCCAGCCCTCAGAAGGGGGGGCATCTCCCCTAGGTACACACACTTGAGAATCAGCACAGCAGACCCCTCCCCCAGGAAAACTGCTGGAAGAACAGGGGAAGAGCAAGTTCTTGACCAAGCAGTGCTGGAAAGCTCCCGGGAAAGTCGAGGGATTTAGTATATAGAACTAGAGGGCAACCTCCCTTACCTTCCTTTTACCAGTACAACTCATTTTTATATGAGACTGAAAAAATCCAATATATTTTCTCTTTTCCCACCTTAACTACAATATTTTACCACCTCTTCATTTTTAAGTTTCTGTCTTTTTGACGTTCATATTTCTACAATTACACGTCCTAGATATATTTTCCACTACTGGAGTCCCTTCAACATAATCAATTCAATTTTGGGAGAGAAAGGAAATTTTTTGTCTGTGTGTGTGTGTTTTGTTTTTTCTGCCTCAGTTTGTTCTACAATGGCAAAAGGTAATACCTTCTAAAACATAACCAGCATGCACCCAGCACCAAGTGATATACCATGCTGGTTCATTCTGTGAGATTATATTCTCTCTTCATTCCCATTCTGCCCCCCTCTTTTATCTCATTTATCTTTTGGTGGTCAATGTTGGGGATTTCTACTGTATTGCTGGTTTATATAAATATGGGACGGAGCCTCATCTAACCCACAGAACGTAATACACTCAAAACCAAGAGATAACCTTCTAGAACCCCTCAGGTAGACTACATTCTCCCTCCACTACAACTTCTTCACCATCTCCCAGTTCCCCACCCTTTTTTCTTTCTTCTCTTTTTTTCCCTCTTTACTTTTGCTTTTTTATTTTTTTTTTCTTTTTCTTTGGGATTCTTGGCCATGTATATTTTACTACGTTGCTTTAAAATTTGCTTTTCACTTTAGTGGTCCTTTTGTTATATTTCTTTCTGATCTTTGTTTTCATTTTCTGGTCTCTGACCTCATCAGAATCATCTAGGGTGAAATTTGCTTAGGCTAATACATGTGCTTAGGCTGTGGTTTATATTCTAGACTCAGCCCACTCATGGACCACTCCTCACTGAACAAAATGACCAGAAGGAAGAATTCACCACAAAAGAAAGCAGAAACAGTACTACTGTCACAGAATTAAGAATATGGATTACAATTCGATGTCAGAAAGCCAATTTAGAAGCACAATTATAAAGCTACTGATGGTTCTGGGAAAAAAGCATAAAGGATTCTAGAGAATTCATGACTGCAGAATTTAGATCTAATCAGGATGAAATAAAAAAATCAATTAAATGAGATGCAGTCCAAACTGGAGGTCCTAACCACGAGGGTTAATAAGGTGGGAGAAAGAGTGAGTGGCATAGAAGACAAGTTGATGGCAAGGAAGGAAGCTGAGGAAAAAGGAGAAAAACAATTCTGAGACACCATGAGGAAAGGTTAAGGGAAATAAATGATAGCCTCAAAAGAAAGAATCTACGTATAATTGGGAAAATGCAGAGAGGGACAGAGGGACAGAAAGCGTATTTGAACAAATCAGAGCTGAGAATTTCCCTAATTTGGGGAGAGAAACAGGCATTCAGATTCAGGAGATAGAGAGTCCCCCCCGCCCCCCCGAATCAGTAAAACCGGTCAACACCTCAACATATAATAGTGAAACTTGCAAATTCCAAAGATAAAGAGAAAATCCTTAAAGCAATGAGAGACAAGAGATCCCTAACTTATATGGGGAGAAATATTAGATTAACAGCTGACCTTTATGCAGAGACCTTGCAGGCCAGAAAGGGCTGGCAGGATATATTCAGCGTCCTAAATGAGAAGAACCTGCAGCCAAGAATACTTTATCCAGCAATGCTCTCATTCAGAATAGAAGGAGAGATAAAGAGCTTCCAAGATAGGCAGAAACTGAAAGAATATGTGACCAGCAAATCAGCTCTGCAAAAAATATTAAAAGGGAGCCTGAAAGAGAAAGAGGAAGCCCAAAGAAAT